CTCTCCACTTAGCATCTTTGATCCCTTTGCCAGCTCCCTCTCTCTCTGCTGGCTGCCAGCCATTCTCAGCATCTACCATTTTACCTTCCACTTCCCTGCAATTTACTTTCTACCTGTTCTCATGTTCTTTCTTATTCACCTTAGCCTTTATTTCTCTTTCCTGCCTGCGGTGTCAACAGGTACAAGTCTGTTTATGCTGTCTTCATGCTAACAAGCAGATCAGTAATAAAACAGGAAATTGTAGCTCTGCAGTGTGTGAACTGCTAAACCTTTTCCATGTTAACATGCAGATTACTGTTTGCTTTAACCAAGTTTTAAAACTGGGTGATTTGATAAATTATGAAAGCAGAAAATGTGGTTTAATAGAGCCCCAACATATCTTAAAGACCTCATAGTACTTTATTCCCTATCGGATTGCAGGTTTACTTGGTTCACGACTGGTATGTTCAGTCATTAACAATTATTAAACTCTAGTGGTGCAACGGATCACAGTTGATCCGTAATCCGAACTGATCCCACCACAGTTTGGCACGCACATAATCTGAAGATTCGAAAAAGAAGAAAAAAAGTATGTGTATGGGGCGCGTGGTGGGTCTGTCAAGTGATAGTTATGGCCAGCGCTGGTGGTCCAAGTGGAGCAGCCCTTTGCTGCCCAGTCCGATCGGGCTAAAGCTATTACAAAAGCTACTGGGGTGTTTAGCTGCAGACGGGAGGCCGTATTCCATTGTGCAAAACAAGGGGTTTAAACTATGATGGACGTGCTTGAGCCACGCAATGATATCCCATTGCGCATCCACTTCAGTGACAAGATCATACCCAGGCATGTATGAGCAGGAAAAGTTTAAAGTTAAGGCTGAACTGTCCCAGGCATCTTCTGTTGCCCAACTACAAATGGGTGGACCTCAAGGGCAACGGAAAGCTACGTGACCATGACCGCTCATTATATCACAGCAGAGTGCTAGATACAAAGCCCTGTACTGCCCTATATTGCACCTTAATTTGTTTTTATACATTTGCGTGGAATGAGTCTTGAGTTGAATGTTTTTAATAGGCAAAAATACTTATAAAGTTAATAAATAAATGTTAAAATGTTGTCTTTTTTTCTTTTTTGCTGTTCCGAAAATTAATCCGATCCGTGACTTAAAACCATCCGATCCGAACCGTGAGAATTTTGATCCGTTGCACCACTATTAAACTCTGACTCTCTCCCATTTGGTGTTTGTCCCGTCTCTCCCTACTCTCTTTTCTTTCCCCTCACTCCAACCGGTCACAGTGGATGGCTGGTTGTGCCAGAGGTTTCTTCCTGTTGAAAGGGAGTTTTTCCATTCCACTGTCACCAAATGCTTCTTCATAGAGGATTATGTGATTATTGGGGTTTCTCTGTAATATTGTAGAGATTTTGCCTCACAATATAAAGCTTGTTTTAAATTGTTACTATATAACTGAATTGAACTAAATTAAACCTGTAATAATTACCTAACATGTGATTGTTTCCAAAAGGCTAACCAGTTTTGCACCCAATGCTGACCAAACAGAGTTTGCTACATTTCCTGCTGCTGATAGGACAAGTTATGAAACAATCAATTTCAAAACTTTTTTTAAAAATAAAGTGTTGTTCAAACTACATATCAAACCAGCTCAAAATCTCTCCTCCCTCCACTTTTGTCATTCTTCTTGTCATCTCTCTTTCGTTTCTCTTCCTCCCTGCATACATGCATTCACTTCACACTCCTCCATCTCTGCAGTTCCATCCCCCTGCTGCCGCACTGTCCATCATTTATTACTTCATTGACTGCTGAATCTATCTCCTCATTATTTCTATCCAAGCCCAGCCTTTTCTTCATTAATCTTCCTTCCTCCAGTGGCTGGTCAGCTCTGGTGAAGCTCAAGTATGTGTTATGGCTAGAATGAAAGATATGGGTGGTGCCTCGCCTGGAGGGGAACAAGTGTTGCTTCAAACAGAAGACCTGAGGGTAAAACACAGTAAATCTAAATCTAACAATCTCGAAATGTCTACTCAACAGTGTAGAAAAGCAAGGCATTAAGCAAGCAAATATTTGAACACAAGCCTGCGTTAAATATATTTTCACCCACCCATACTTCATGGCTGGGCGGGCTTCACCAGATCAGCATAAAAGTCACTCTTCTCACTGTCTGTAATCAATCATCATGACACAGTGAAGGCAGAAATCGATACAGAAGGCATTGAATGCATGAACACATACCTGCAAGCTGTTTTCAGTTGTTCACTGCTCTCTAAAGAAACAGTGCCATGCAGGACCGTCCTCCCAAAAAATTATGTTCCCGAATAACTAAACACATTTTCAAGCATGTTCTTAAGCAAGTGGTGTTTAATTCTTGTTTGTGACACATCCTGGTAGAGGACAGCACTACCTAAAATGTTTTGCTGTCTGAGCCTAATCAATAAAATGCAAAGAAAATATTCCTACAGTTCCTCTGAATCATAACTCAGAATGCAGTTTAATGGAACTGGAATACAACCTTTAGTAGATGGTGTTGACTTGTGGTTTGTACAAGCAAAGTGTCTGTGCAGATACTCTATAGAGCATGGGTGAGCCTTTGCTAGCTGCCCAGTCATATGCCATCCAGGCCCTAACAGGCACTACACCAGCTGTGTAAACTACTTGGCTCACAGTCAAGCAGAGATGGGAAGCGCTTCAGTGAAGTCAGCCGGTCAACTGTGATACAAGTATGCTCGATCCTTATCTTTTTTTTCTCGATTCTAAAGTAAAAAGAGTAAAAAAAGCCCACTCTGACCAGCTCACAACAAGCAATTCTGCCAGGAAAGATGATGCATATGATGGATCTTCAATCTCAGTACAAAGGGAATGAATGAAATAACAACTCATATATGCATGTTTTTTTTATATATAAACCCACCGTGAGCATCAATTCTATTTGTGGAAAAAAATTAAAGGATGGATGGATTTATGGACAGATTGATAATATGATGTCTAACTTTCTTCATATGCAAATAATGTAATTTTACACTGACATTTACTTCTCTTAGGCCCCAGTCAAGCAGGTCTATACAGTAGCTGGCAACCCACTATATTCCCTGACCACTTGTGTGTGGGAGTTTATGTGTTAAAAAAACATAAATTACTGAACTTCAATAACTTAGTGAAACTTAAAAGAGTGTGTTTAATATATAAAGTCTTACACTCCCTTGCTCCACCACCACTAAAGCAGTTCATTAGGCATAAAGAAAGCTCAGACAGGACCACTCGAGCTTCAATCCGAGGAGACTTGTTTATACCCCACAGACGGAAAGCATCTGGGAAGAACGTCCTCTCTGTCAAGGGTGGCCATCTGTGGAACAGTCTTCCTCAACCCATTAGAGAATGCTCTACACTCAATTTGTTTAAGGCAAAGGTTAAAAACTGGTTATGGACAAATCAAGTGTGTGATCATGTATGAGTTGTATAGTTTTAATGTTTTATTTGGAAACAGAATGGTGTGTATGTGTAAGTTTGGTGATGGAGTTTTTATTATGAATGAATGATGAATTTTTATGAATTATTATGTCTAGTTTTATGCTTAAGGACAACAGATGGAAATTAGCCCTTGGCTATAATCTGGTATGTTTACATTCATGTATTTTTTTTTTACATTTATGTTCATTAACATGCACTGTCCTAAATAAAATAAATAAATAGAGCACTAAAGCCCCATTCATGCAGGCCCAGAAACGAATCAGAGACTGGTTGGAGAATGCACATTTTACAGGTCTTTAGGCTGTGTGACTGTGGACTTAGCTAATTCATCACATATTAATGGGTGCAATTTGTTAAAAGGCTACAAATATAAGGTTCAAACTGTTTACAAACCTAAAGCATCATGGGTAGATTAGTTACCAGACCTGGAGGCTCTAGTGGGCGACTTTTCTGTTGGATGAAATTAAACACACTTTACGAAATCCAGGTGTGTTTTTATATATATACTTTATATTTTGATATCGCTAAAGTTCAGAATACCCCAGTATGTTTTGTTACGGTTGCGAAGCTTAGCAAAGAATACTGGTTATATATATTTAGAGCTGTGAGAGTTCTCTACCCATCATTAAGTGACCATGCAAACAGATTGTAAAATTTATTACAAACAAAAACCCAAAACTCTGTAAAGGCATCTGATCCTGGAAGGTCCAGAGACTCCAACATTTGATCAGGCAGAGTACTCTGACACAGGAACTAGAAAATGCAGGCACCTAAAGGCAGTCTGGTCAAAGCCTGCCTGTCTTACAGTTGTTGACAGGTTGACAGGATAACAATTACATAAGAAAAAGGCCGGCTGTCTGTATCGGGCAGTAAAACAGGGGAGTGTTTTTCAGACAAGTAAAATTGAACTGGCCAAAGTGGAACATGACAATGGGGAGTATCTGATCACACCTGATAAAGCTTCCCTCATTGTAAACACTGACTTCTACTGTAGCAGTTATAATAAGCAAAAAGGTAAACATGCAATGGGTAGCAAAACCTTTATCTAACACAAAATGCAATATAGGCATACAAGTAAACTCCATATAACCTGATTTATAACACAAGCTTAATTATCAAGTCTGATCATTCCCGGTAGAGAGAATATTGATGAACACATACACATAACGCACGCATAAGTCCTCCTATGTCTTTATCATTCATCGGAGCAGAAAGAAGCAATTGCCACTGAAGTAGTCCTCCCTGAATTCATCCTGCACTGTCAACACTTTTTGTTGGAGATGCAGCTAAAGAGTCAAAGTAATTAAGAACCACCGCAGTGAAATGGGATCTGAGCTGCTGATTTACATTTGTTTATGTAGAAAACCTGCACAGGCAGACACAATACACCTTTACATCTCTGTGGGGGTTAGTGTCACTTCCTAAGAAAAACAGAACATCCATCATTAGTGTACACCTGCAAAAATATCTTTCTGTAAAAAGGAAAACATGTCATTTTTGCTATATTTATGACTAACATGGCTAATGTAACATTTAACATACCTAAATTTGAGGTTTTTTGGAAATGTGCTCACCCTGAAATCCTTTCCCATTGCTCTGGCATCCTATGGCTAATGCTCCCAATATGTTGCTGCTTTTGGTTGCAGTAACAACTACACCTCATTGCCATGCTACTCATTCTCTTAGTTGTCCCCAAACATGGACGGAAAACACAATTTCTTTTAGTCTAGTGCCAAGCTTAACGAATGTTCGGGAAACTGGCAGAGCCAAAGAGCCAAGCAGCAGCTGTTGAATTAGAAAGAGGGTAAGAGGCAGAGGGTGGCCACAATACTCCCTGAGGCTTAACTATTGATGCAGCTGTATGTGAAACTGTGTGACGAGGTCATCCTTGCTTCAGTAATTGAAGTTCACGAGGAACAATAAAACTTTTTGTTTTGAGCATGAGCTCATTTTATAAACATCAGCATCCTTTGAATGAAATATAATACATATGAGCTTTCAAATACTTTGTGTGGGACTCTTATAATGGAAGCTGTGCAGCACATGGTGGTCTAACAGGTACGACCCCATAAAGATGACAGAAAAGCTCTTCTTGTTGCTGGTGATGTGGTATTGTTATCTTGAAAGAGTTTTGAATCAAGAGGTGCTTTGACAAAGTCTATATTTGATAAGTCTTGGACTACATTCATGCTAATGAATATTAAGGGCTTAAATATGGGTAAGTACATCAGAGAAAAGCTTGGATTTTAAGTAGCTAAACACACAATACAGAGTCGGAAAGTCTTGAGCAACCGCCGCATTTCTCATATTTTTAAAGGAAAAAGGGAAATGAGTGCAACAGCTTATGGAAATATGGAAATATGGTACATAAGGCAAAGACAGAGTTTGTATAGTTTTAACCAGCCATGACCACCTTTATTCTTCAACACTAAAGACAAAGTTTTCTTGCCATTTCTTTAAGTAGCAGCTCCAAACCATGACAGAGCCTCCTCCGTGTTTTACAGATGGCTGTGGACTCTCACTGTAGGGACTCTCTTCTGACCACCTCCATACATATTTATGACAATTTTACCAAATATTTTGGATTCATCACTCCATCAGATCTGTTGCCACTGATCTTCAGTCCAGTTCTTGTGTAGTTTGGCATACCTCAGCCTTTTCCCTCTGTTTTCTTTCCTTAAGAATGGCTTCTTGACAGCCACCCTTCCACTGAGACCATTTCTGACGAGGCTTCAGTGAACAGCAGATGGATCATCTGAAGGTCCACTTGTATCCTGTGTCAGGTTTTTGATGAATCTTTACCTCTTTCTTAAGGGCGTGACTTGTTCATCTGCTGTAAATATTTAGTTTTTTGCTTTTCTCCTCTGATTGTCCAGTTTCCTCAATTTTTGAAGGACACAATGAACACCACTGCAACAGCATATTATCTTTGGCATGTTTTCTTTGTTCAACTAAAGAACTGGGAACCAATTATGTGCGTTTGTAATCGGCCATTAGTAAAGTCATGCCTAAAGATACAAACGGTTCTTTGTCTTGAGGTAATTGCCTTTTTAGGCTTGAATGACTTGTGAGTCAGGTGAAATTAACAAAACATTCCTGTGGTCAGGACTGGACTGAGAATGAGTGAAAAAGCAGCCGAGGTCCAAAGAAAAGCTTTGAAAGGACTTCACAAAAAAGTCTGCCTTCTTGGAAGCAAAATAGAAAGAAATGTGTTATATTGAATATGTTGTTATGTAGAACAAATACAGTCCCACATCAAAATGTACACTTACCTTCTAAAGAAAACAGTCTTGGCAGTGAGTGATGGGGATAAATGGTAACTGACATGTGTAATGATTCCAGTAACTTTATCAGTTGATAAAGAACTGGTAATGTAGTTGAATGTTCAAGCAAAGGGAGTGCTTTTTGCCTTTGGGCGGATTGTTTTATCACGCTCACTGCTCCCATGGTAGAATTTAACTTAAGTGCACGACTCATCCAAGTTTCCTTTTGGGAAAGTTCAGTGTATGTCTGAAGACTCATGAGGTAATTCAAGTGTTGGCGTGTGTGGCACTACAGGGGGAAGGAAGTAGCTGACAAGAACAAAAATAAGTCCCATCACAAGTAAATGAGTAGATGTACAGTAGTAGCATACGAAGGACAAAAGAAGCATATGTTTACAAACAAGAGCACAAAGCTGTTTTCACACAGAACTGTGGGAATTGCCAAAACAATGAGGCCCTAACAGCGTATGAACTTATCTTACATGAACTACGTGACGAGAGTTAGTCTGTGCCAGATTCCCCATTTTAAACACTTCGACATGTGCCATCTGCTTAGTGCATGCAAATGGCAGGACGCATAAAGGCCACTCAATTTCTGTGAGTTCCTGGGAGATTGACTGCTATATTGAGTTGAGGGCAGCAGTGCATGTGTGAATTCAGCTGATGCTGAAACAAATTAGACAAAGGGATAACACACAGAATCAGTACATCCAATGCTGAAGTACGCTTCACACTTAAGAGGGAGCAGAGGGGACCGACGAATGACTGAGACCCGTTAGTGTGGATTAAACTGAGGGTTGCACACGATTTGTTGCGTACTTGAGTGATAAGTGTATTTTGAACCATTGCAGCAGCTATGGCATAACACAAAAATGCATTAATTAATAAAAAAAAATCCAAATTCAGCACAAGGGATCGGAGAATACTAAGACTCCTACAAGTGCTTTGGATTGTTACCAGAATCTGGATTATGTTGTCTTTTTGTATCCAAACCCTGGTCACAAGGGAGGTAGAACTATAGTACCATTTCTACTGTTAGCATTAGCATATCAGATGTAAATTTCCTTTAAAAACACAGGTCCTGTTACAAATATTTAAGATAATATTCACTTGTACTCTTTAGAGCAGGGGTGGGGGAACTCCAGGCCTCAAGGGCCGGTGTCCTGCAGGTTTTACATACCACCCTGGGTCAACACACCTGAGTCATATGATTAGTTCATTACCAGGCCTCAAGAGAACTTCAGGACATGTTGAGGAGGTCATTTAGCCATTTAAATCAGCTGTGTTGGATCAAGGACACATCTAAAACCTGCAGGACACCGGCCCTCGAGGCCTGGAGTTCCCCCACCCCTGCTTTAGAAGATTTTAAGTCTTTATCAGCAGCAACAGAGCATTTAATTTGGTGGCAGTTTGTGCTACTCAAGTTTCAGTGTGGCTCTAGAAAGGCTGGAGTTTGAATCTTTTCCCTGTCCCTGTGTGGGTTCTCTCGCTTCCTCCCACAGTCCAAAAACATTTGGACAGTGGGCTCAAGAGATATTTGGACTGTGGTGACTCTAAACTGTTGTGTGTCTCTCTGTTTAATGATACAGTCACACTGTAAAAACCAGGTATGCAACCATTTGCGGTTAGTTGTCTTGAGTACAACTTTGGTGCATCAAGATGTAAATGAAACGTGAATAATACAGAGTCAGTCTGCTCATAGTTCGAGATTGAATAGGGCCAACTTGGCATTTACTTTTGTTATACGTTGCAAATCTGTTTCCGCCTATAAACATGGAAACTCATATTACACAGAAATTCACATTAACTACTGTTACCCTGACTGTTTTCATTATATTTAAGAGTTTTTTTTCTGTGAACTGTCTTAGTATGACAATGTTATGTCTCTACTTTTGAAGATCTTTACGAGACCACTGGAAAGTCTCCTGACTGGTTCGACCCATGGGTTGGGCTGTCAGTGTGTTAGCTGCTAATTGGTCCTTATCTGGTCTAACATCTGGCCATTCTAAAAACTCTGGTTCCAGCAGCATTCCCCTGGCAGTAAGTGACAGTGGTTTTGTCCTCTCCAAACATCTGTGATGGTTCTGTGTGTTGTGTCTTGTGGGGAAAACAACAAGGATTTTTGTACATAGGTTTGTAAATAGATAAACACACTAATTTGTTATCACTTAAAGCACAAGGATTAACTGTGTTTTTCTTTTGTAGTTTTCTGCAGTTTGTGCTTATTTACAGACTTAGGTTTAACATGTTTTTTTATTCGGTTCTGTTTGTTTTTCCTTTCGGGATCAGATAGGACAACTCACAGGTTTGAAACAGAAATTAACAGAGTCCTTCGAATTATGATAGTAGTGATAATTGATGCAGGATAGCCACTGAACTGCAAAATGACATTGGCACTGTAGTTGGCAAAGCTCCCTTGCTGTAGGAATATATAGGAACAGGAAGACTGAATTAGATTGCTGGTAACGCGTTGGCAATCTGCATTTATAAATCAGACAACAATTATTTGCAATCCTGCAAATCTGAGAGTGATTACAGTCATTTTGACTTGAACCTTGATTGGTTGTCGAGCGGTTGATTCCTACTAAGTGACTTGTGATATCACCTTACAATCACAAGGGATTGCACACTCAGCCTTTGGATGACCAGCTAGTCAGTTTATGCATTTTAGTGTGAACAAGAAAAAAAAAAATTTCTCAAAGGTGTTTGTCATACAGTTTTTGATGTTAGACTGTGGTCTATGTTACTGCATGAGGGCTTTTGATGGGCAAAAAATGTCTACACAATTACGGTGTTAAAAGTGTTTGCCATATTTTACCCATCTGGAGCGCAGAATGACCCCTGAAATGTCTCTATCAACATATTTCAGGCAGTTTGTCCATTCTGCGCTCCAGATGGGTAAAATACAATAAAGATTGTAATCGCATTAATCATGATGACGCATTAACATGTTAACGTTGACAGCCCTAGTTTATTATTAAGAGGAAAAAAATCCAAACTTACATGGCCCTGTGTGAAAAAATGAACCCTAAACCTGATAACTGGTTGGGACACACTTAGCAGCAACAAGCGTTTGTGATAACTGGCAATGAGTGTTTTACAGACTGTGGAGGAAATGGAGGGTTTTCAAGCATGAACCACCTTTTTAAGGTCATGCCACAGCATCTCAATCGGATTCAGGTCAGGACTTTGACCAGGCCACTCCAAAGTCTTTATTTTGTTTTTCTTAAGTCATTCAGAGGTGGGCTTACTGGTGGGTTTAGGATCATTGTCCTGCTCCAGAACCCAAGTGCACTTTAGCTTGAGGTCCTGAACAGATGGCCAGACATTCTCCTTCAGGATGTTTTGGTAGATCACAGAATCCATGGTTCATTTTACCACAGCAAGTCTTCCAGGACCTGAGGCAGCAAAATAGCCCGAGAGCACCACACTACTACCACCATATTGGTATGTTGGTATGATGTTCCTTTTCTGAAATGCTACTTTTAAGCCAGTCTAGGGTGTACCCTGCCTATACGACACAGATACAGCTGAGATTTACATTGTAAAATCATAGTATTATTATTGCTGCAGATTGTAGATAGTAGAGTATCCTAACCTCCCCAAAACAGCCCACATACCTGATTTTCTTCTGTAAATACAATGTAGGAAGGCAAGATTGGCCATTACTTTAAAGCAGGTTTGTCGAACTCCAGGCCTCGAGGGCCGGTGTCCTGCAGGTTTTACATATCACCCTGGGTCAACACACCTGAATCAGAATATTAGTTCATTACCAGGGCTCTGGAGAACTTCAAGACATGTTGATGAGGTCATTTAGCCATTTAAATCAGCTGTGTTGGATCAAGGATACATCTAAAACCTGCAGGACACCGGGCCTCAAGGCCTGGAGTTCAACACCTGTGCTTTAAAGTAATCCAGAGGTTGTCACTAGTTAAAAATAGATATGTTATTATTTGTTTTCATTAATAGTGCCCATTTCCTCTTTCAAGCTACAGACCTTGAAAGAGGAAATGTTGTTTAGAAAACACAACTGTTTATTTAGTGGAATATGAGGCAGAAGTGACATTTTCTCAAAGTCTCCTTCCCCTCCTTGTGACGTCACCTTTCCCTCATTCATCATTGCCTCCTCTTCTTGCTCCACCTCCCAATTACTCAATTTGTTTCTCCGCCCGTCCATACCTTAATCACTCGTGCCATTCACGCACTCCCATATTTATTCACTTCTCGGTGAATCATACCTTCATTGTAATTCCTTCCTTGCGCTCATCCTTCATTTGCCGAGCTCGTCTTTGATCAGTCGTTTCTCAGCCCATCTCTCGTTACTCACACCATTCATGAGGTTCACGCCACGTTCTCCCTCCCTCCCTC